AGGGAGGAACTAGAGCAGGAAGAGGAGGAGACACAACAGAGGAGGGGACCCCATCCCTCATGTGAGATGTAYTCAGACTCTTTTCCCAGCCCCATCACACATACACCCACTGCCTACCAACAGCCCCTTCCCTGCCCCCCTCAGCCCTTGGCTCTGGCTCTAGCCAGGTCCTGGTGGCTTCCCTCCTCCAAGTTCCTGTGGATTGAACCAGGACTGGCTTAAGGTGGAGGCAGAAGTAGAGCCTGTCCTTTCTGTTTTAACATATGCAGAGGAAATAAGTCAGTGGAACAAGAATGGCTYGCACAAGGGAAAGAGGAAAGAGGAGACAAAGAGAGAGAGGTGTTGGGAGAGGAAGCAGAATACAGAACATTCCACAGGGCCTGCTCCATTCCTGTGACCTATAGAAAAGGGGAAATGATAAAACCATTATGGAAAAATGATACGGAGGTTCCTCAAAAATTTAAAAATAGGGCTGGGCTGTAGTTCAGCRGTAGAAAGCTTGCCTGGTATGAGTAAGATCTCAGGTTCAATGCCAAGTACCCATGCACAAAATTAAAAATAGAGCTACCGTGTGATATACCAGTGGGTATACATCCAAASGAAATGAAGTCAGTATGTCAAAGAAACATCTGCACTCACATGTCTATTGTAGCACTATTCACCATAGCCAAGATGTGGCAACAATCGCAGAGTTCATCAGCTGATGAGGGGATAATACTGGTATGCATACACAGTGGAATACTATCCAGCCTTTAAAAAGTATGAAATTCTGTCATTTGCAACAAACAGGAAGGAACTGGAAGTCATTTTGTCAAGCCAACACAGTAAAACAAATACCATATGATCTCACTCATATCTGGAATCTGAAAAAAGTTTGTCTTCTAGAAATTGAGGGCAGAATAATAGTTACCAAAGGGTGGAAAGAGTAAGGCGTGAGATGAGGATAAATGGACCAACAGATATAAAGTTACAGTGAAAGAGGAGAAATGAAATTCAATGTTTTCACCACAAAGAAATGAAAATAAATGAGAGAGTTATGTTCACCCTGGTTTGAACATTATGATGTATACATGTATTAAATTTCACATGGTACCTATAAATATTTTTTTTTGAATTTTAATATTTACTTTTTAGTTTTCGGCGGACACAACATCTTTGTTGGTATGTGGTGCTGAGGATCGAACCCTGGCCGCACGCATGCAAGGCGAGCGCGCTACCGCTTGAGCCAYATCCCCAGCCCATAAATATAATTTTTATATGTCGATCATATATATGTATATATTTTCATTAAAAAATGGTAAATGAGTGGAGAAAGCCCACTTAGACTGGACCCAGAGATTATACCTTTCTCTAACTGCCTCCTCCCCCACACAGCAACTGGGGATGATAGGAATTAAAGCCCTTCAAGGACCAGGACACTGGGGTGGATGGGGAGGCTGGCCTGAGGGAACCCTAGGGGGAAAAGAATGCAGATGGCTCCAAGAATTCCTCTGGGGAAAATCCAGACCAGGGTGAGGAATTTTGCTGCATGATTCTTAAGTCCTAAGGACTAAGGATGAACATATTCCTCATTTCCCTCCAGAGCTTAGTGGATCTGGAATGTTCTACTCTAGATAGGTAGTGCTAACCCTTAATATGGGTTCTGKTTCTCCAATGCTAGAGCCAGAGCATTGGAGAAAGAGAAAAGAGAGGTTGTGGCAGCAGGAGGATAGCAAGTTCAAGGCCATCCTGGGCAGCATATCGAGTTGCTAGGCAATTTATCAAGTTCTTGCCTCAAAAGACGAAAAAAATAATAAAGAAAATGTAAAAAGGCCAGAGATAGAGCTCAGAGGTAAAGCCCTTTCCTTAGCATTGTGGGAGGCCCTGGGTTTGATCCCTACACTACAAAAAATAAAAATTTAAAAAATGGAAGCTTGTGGGAGTTTGTTGGGGAAGGTTTGAATTGCTGRCAGGTGGCAGAGCTGGGGAGCTGGGGMAGTGCTGGGTTGAGCAGTCCCAGTTCCCCCTTACTCTCAGGACCTTCCAGAAAGGAGAATGGGGAAGAATATTAGGCGACCTTCACTCCCCACACACCATCTTCCAGTACTCACACTTTGGGAAAATCCTAACTGCTCTACTTCTGCCCCTTAACTTGCACCTCCCATTTTACTTCTCTTCTGACATCAAAGACCACAGCAATCTGACGAATTTCACCGTGCCACTCACTCCCACCGTAACTGTGGGGAGCGGGCTTCCCTGGTGCAGAGGGGAAATTGAAAGCCAGAGGGCATCCCACCCTCTCCTGCCTCGCCCCTGCTCCTCCAAACCGCCCTTCCAAGCCTTAACCAAGTGCCTTAGGCACTGTGCTAGGTACTGGGAGTCCGATGGGCCAGCAAGTTGTGTTCCTTCAACTTGACCTTGAATCCAGGGGCAGAGAGGTGGTAAATAGAGGGGGAAGGGACTGAGGCTCCGCAGCACCCGGGAGGCAGGAAGCCTCTGCTCCTCAGCTCTAAATGCAAATTCTGCACCCAGTACACAGACTMGGGCAGAGCCGGGAGGGTGGAGCCGAGCTGCGGGAGAGGCGGACAATCGGGCGGGGCCGCGGAAGCAGCTGAGAAGGGAGGGAGCCTCGGGTTTGCTGCAGTACCCATCCTGCCCTGTAGCCCCCTGGAGGGAGGCCGGAGCTGCGGGAGCACATTTCCACGCTGCCCGTGACTGAGGGCTCAGGACCCGGGGAGCAGGAGCCCCTGGTGCGCGCGAACTGGGGACGTGCTTCTCATGGCGAAGCCCTCCCCAAATCTACCAGAATCTACCCACTAGGCAGGGAACTGAAAATAGGAAGAGCGCTGCAGGAATGGTGGGATTATGGGCTCCCACGATGGGAGGGGCGCGATTTCAGAGTTGCACCTCAGCAAGATGGTGGCAGGCAGGATTGGGGCTCCCCAGGGGAAGCAAAGAAAAGGTTTCYTCCCTACACCCTTCCTACAAAACAAGGGCCCTGGTTCTGTCTTGGGGCCCCGGCCCACTGGGGAAGGCCACATTCTCTCTGGATCAGAATATAGGTAGAGTAGAACTGTCTTGTCTTGGGGTGCAGTCAGATCAATCACCAAACACCTCAAAACGAAAACTGATTCCTGTTGCTTCCCTGGACCCTTTGTAGGTTTCCCTCCAAATCTTCTGCTTGCTTCTTCCCCAGTTCTCCCTGGGGCAGCTGCAGATCTAGGACCCACTTCCCAGGGCATTCTTTCCCAGCTGCCACCATACCTCTCATTCCAGAGCCTGCTCTTCAGCCACCCTCTCATCCCACCCCCCACCCCCGCCAAGGAGGGTAACCCAGTTCACCAACAGCCTGGCCAAGAAACAGCTGCATCCTGCAGTCCTCCTCCTTAGCCCTCCCCACCCAATCCCTCCTTACCCCTAGGCCCTGCTGCATCTCCCATCCCAGTCTGGAATGACCCTGGTCTCCTCCCTTCTTTCCAAGTAATGAAGACCCAGAGCTGAGGGGGCTGCAAGAGGCCTCCAAACGGGAAAAGTCAGAAACAGGGGCAGAAGGGTGTTCTCAAGGATGGATAGGGAGGATCTGAAGACTCTTGGTCAGACATATCACCCTGAAGAGGCAGCAGCTGCACTGCAAAATGGGATTTCATTTTCCCTCCCTCTCCACTGTCCTTTCCCCTGCCCACAGYGACAGTTGAGTGCCCGCCTATTTCTTCATCTGACATTCCCCCTACCAGGCCAGCAGGCGCCAGCATCATGTCTGCAAGTTATTGTAAGTCGGGCAGGAATGCCCAAGAGGGAGGTGCCTCTGGCCCTGGAGTGCCCACTCCTCTCCCAGGATGTGCTGGCCCTCTCCAGTGCCCTCCGCACCCAGCTGGAAGAGAGCAATGGGCACACTCATACAGATTGAAGAGTGTAAGGCTGGTCTTGCCCTGGGGAAGGATGCCAGCCGGCCTCCTCCACCAACAGCGAAGCCAAGTATGTGAGTGTGTGTGAGAGGAGAGGGAGTAAAAGGACAATCCCAGCCTTAATTTCTAGCTCTTCAGCAAGGTGCTCAGGGACCCTCTTGCGGATACTGATTGCCCACTGTCAACCAGCTAGCTCCCCAGTCTCCAGCCTTGAAACTGAAAACTTTTCAACTCGGCCCCTTTCTCCTTCCTCCCCTTTGAGAACAGAGATGTGTGGGGCGGTGCCCTCAGAGACACTCATACAGTTGGTTCTGGACGCTTACACACACTCAAACAACAGCGGTGCGAGGGAACTCCCAGCTTTTTCCACAGCTAATTATAGACGTGAAAGTCTGAGGATGTTTTGCAAGCGGCAGASAGAAACTGCTGAGGTTTCTCTGCAAAGCCAAGAAAACTGAATGTGTGCACTCCCAGGTCTCCCCCTCCCCAAAACCTCTCCTAGCCTACCTCCACCCATCCCCCCAGTGTGCCCCCTCCCAGGTTCCCTAGCAGCCCCTCCTTCCGGTTGAAGATATCTTACTCGGCTCTCTCTCTCTCTCTCTCTCTCTCTCTCTCTCTTTGGGGCTTTCGAGAAAGGGAACAGACGCGGAAAATATTTTTGCAATAGTTTTCCATTCTGCGTCTCATTCCCAAGCCAAGGGGGAGGGGGAGGGCAGGAACGGATGGGGAGGAACAAATGCTTTATCCAAGAGCTCAATTTGGGTGTGAAAAAGACAGTACCTCATTTTTCTGTAGCTCTCTCCCCCCCCCCACCCCGCCCCAGGAATGACAAGAACTAGGAAAAGAAAAAGAAATCACTTGTTTGCTTATATGGTTCTTAAGAATTGAGAATAAGAAAGGAATACAGTATTTGACAAATCTGTGCACACGCGCGCGCACACACACATACACACACACACACACACACACACACACACACACACATACAAAAACCTCCAAACCCAGCCGCGTGAAATACACTAGGAAGAAGAAGAAATCCAGGGAGTTTTAGAAGCCATCGGGAGGAAAGAAACAAAGTTTGCAAATCGCGAGTCGATTCATTCTCCGCAAGCCTACCTCTCTTTCTAGCAAAGACCCAGGTTTCTCCAAGCGGGACTCTCCCTCCGGGTTTCCATGGACGGGTTGGGCGGGGTGACCACCCACCGGTCTCCCCAAAGTGGCAACCAAGCTAGAGATGCTGGCCTCGCGCTCTTGYCTTTCCAGCTACGGCCGAGGAGTGGGCTGGGTCTCCTCCGCAAGCCCTTCCAATGAGAGGGACCTTCTTGGAAGAAAATGGGTGCAGGGAGCTGGGCGGGCGTCTCTGATCTTGCCGTCTTCGGAGGGATGGTTCCCCAGGAAGTTCCTGCCCCCTCCCCACCCCCAGCTTTGGATGGTCTCAACAGCGGAGCTTTCTTAAGAAAATGCTTGTCATGGCAACAGCTCCAGCCACCTCGGGCCAGTCTCGGGCTCCCCGGCTCTCTCGGAGCAAAGCAGGGGGAGAAAGGGGAGGAGCGGGAGCGGAGCGGAGGTGGGGCTTGGCGCCCGGCCAGACCATTACTCGCCTGTTAAGGTGGCCTGGTGGTTCCGCGCTGCGGCTGCTTCCTGGGTTGTGTTAAGGGGGAATGGGAAGGGGACGGGGAGGAATCCTCTTCTCTCTTGGGGTTTCCTCCTGCGCTTGCTCTCACTTGTTGAAAGGAGCGCAGAGTAGGGTGGGGTGGGGTGAGGAGGTGGGGAGTGGATGTGGGTGGCGGTATTCAACCGTTGCTACGTGGAGGGGAAATAAAGGAAGCGTCTGCAGGCCCTTGGCTTCCTGCAGCTCTTACCGGCCTCTCAACCTCTTACTCATTTATACCCAGGACCAAGAAACCCAAGGTATCTGTGATCGCTTATACCATCCCCGCCCAGCCTTCTACCCCTGCCAGACTAGGGAGCTCTTTGACGTAGGCGAAGGAATTGCTTTGGATGCTCACACACTTACACGCCTCCTCGCCCACATTTCGCACACAGGTCACATTTTGCTCGCTCTTGCCCCTGTTGCCACCAAGGCACCCTAGTGCATAGAATGGCTGGCCTGCTTTTGAGTTCTCCTGTATGGGGGCTATGCACCCAAACCTTTGTAGCTACAGTATCATTTCCAATCCTCGCGGCAATCTTGAAAGTACTTATCATTATCCTAATTTCATAGTTGAGGAAATTGAGGATTGAGTGACTCGCCCAAGGTTACACCTGTGTCCTCTCTTAACAGGACAAGAACCAGATTCAAGGTCGAGTTAGACAGATTCCAAAGCCCATATATTTTGCTGTCCTCATATCACATGGTGTGGCACACATTTCTAATTTAATTTGCACACACASAGACATCCATGCACACTTATACATGGCCTATAAACTGTTAATCACACCCCCCCACACCTACGCAGCCACCAGCATTGTGCAACAGTGCCACCCATAGATTTTGCATAGAACCTTATGGCTTTCAAGTACAAACATGTACCATCAGCTGGCTCGCACAACATATCTTCATTGACTGATACATTCCCACACCTACTGCAGCAAGCACACTCACTCATATTTATATGCTTATGGAAGGTGGGTTAACATCATCTCAGAGGTTGTAGTTGTAAACTGTGCTATGAAGAAGGTGACCTGCCACAACTTCCCAACCTTTTTAACAGGGCTTTGAAAAAGGCCTCTTTGATCTTACCATCCTAACTCAACACCTCACACCACACCTGTCCTCCCAGCTTGCTTYCTTCCCTATCCCAGGATGCAGAGCCAAGTGGCCACATGGAGAAGCAACTGTGAATAGGACACAGCATCCTTCCCAGTTTCCTATGGTTTAGGTCTTTTCTTTCCTCTTTATTTTCTTACCTACTATGTCTCAACAACTCACCCACATCCTATTTCTAAGTGAGGGAAAGTTAAACAGACAACAGTAAAGAAACTATTTTGGGGGGCTGGGGATGTGGCTCAAGCAGTAGCGCGCTCGCCTGGCATGCGAGGGGCGCTGGGTTCGATCCTCAGCACCACATAAAAATAAAATAAAGATGTTGTGGCCACCGAAAACTAAAAAATAAATATTAAAAAAAGAAACTATTTTAGTTGTGCTGGATTCAGAACTCAGAGTTCTTCAATGTGGTGTGGAGATTGCCTGTCACATCTATCTTGGGAATCAAATCCAAAATAAGCCCCTGCCTGTGCCCGTGCCTCTGGTCCCCAACCCAGTCCAGTTGAAGGCAGTTTGCAGGGGTGAGGGGAGATTTCAGGGTCATCCTCTATGGAAAACATCTGTGGATTGTTCTCAAGCAGTCCCTTCTTTCTGGAATTGAAGATCTTGCCCTCAAGGCACTTAGAGGATACCAAAGGTGACATTTGTTCTGTTTTGCTTTCTACCCCTGACACTCCTCTGGTCCCTTTCACCTCCCCAGGGCATTTTTTTATTTTTTTATTTTTTTTGAAGATGGAGAAGGTACCTTGTTAGATTTTGGAAGGTCCTACCAAAATGTCAACTTTTGCAGCCCAAAGCAATTGTTGGGGAAGATGTGGATCAGAAAGGAGAGGAACAGCTGAACAGAGCTTCAGATTTAATGGCTTGTCAGGCTCCCTGCTGGATGGCAACAGCTTGACATTTTAGCACCCAATGAGTGTCAGTTGCATCTTTATCATGAGAAAGCCAGTCTCTGAGATGGCTTTTTAAATATATTAAAGTATATTTTAAGCTTGTCTGCAGTGGCTGTGTGTGGAGGCACTGCCTAACCATCAGTAAACTTGTCCTGAGGGAATAACAATTTAGGCCAGATGTGTGGTCCCATTAAAGGAAAAAAGTCGACTTTGGCTGTCTAGCCTGTGGGGGCTGGGAGATGATGCCCATCCATAGCTGATTATTCTTTGAAAAACAAGATCCTCTCCTCAAACTCCCCAGGTTCAAGGGAAACAGGCGCTCCCCRAGAGGTGCTGTGGAAAGAGGCTCTATGGCTGTCCCACCCTTGACTGGCTGGGATTCACGAGCAGGCCAGGGCTGAGTCCTCCCTTCTTTCAGAATGGTGCTCCTCATTGCCTGGTTGGATGCTTGTTGGCTGGGACCCACAACCCTAGCTCCCTGTGGACAGGAGGGAGGGTGGCCAGAAGCGGGCCATCATGACCCCATAGGGGACAGCAGCCTCATCTCTGTAGGTGAATGAGACACTGCAACCTGTGTTTTCTGGAAACCTAGAAGCCCTCAGTGCCTTGTTTGCTTCCAGCAGCATGTTTGAGGTCTCGAATGGGTAAAAATAAATCTATCCATAAAAATAACCACTAGATCTGGGAAAGCTGAGTTGCCCCTCTGGGGCAAGAGGGAGGGCACTGCCCCTGGAAGTTCATGGTGAGGGAATGCAGTCTGCACTGCTCTCTTCAGGTGCTTTTTGTTTGTTTTTTGGTAGAGGGGAGTGAACCCAGGGGCACTCAACCACTGAGCCACATCCCCAGCCCCTTTTTTGTATTTTTATTTAGAGACAGCAGCTCACTAAGTGGCTGAGGCTGGCTTTGAACTCCCAATCTTCCTGCGTCAGTCTCTGGAGCCTCCGGAATTACAGGTGTGCGCCACGGTGCCCGGCCCTCAGGTATTCCTTTGCTTCCTGAGAGCTCCACCTTGGGTTCTCCTCACCCCCTCACCATTTTTCTCCACCTCCTTTGAGTGGGGACTGCACACTCCCTATTTGGATAGCTACTGTTTCGCCTTGTCCAGAACAGCAAACGTCTTTCTCACGCCGAGTCTCACGGCTAATTTAAAATGTTCTCCCTCCCCAAGGTTAAGAAGGGGATGGCCATTTTTATTAGAGGTCCCACCCCCAACTGACCCAAGCTGAGCCAATTGCACCCTTTCCTGGGATTTTTGAAATTAAGATCAAGGAAAAAGGCTCAGTTCCCTCAGTGAAGGCAGCTAAGTTGTGAGGTTCTGGAAGTGTCAGGGCTGTTTCCTGCCATGTGGAAGAAGCTGCCAGTAGAAAAGTGAAGGTCACATGCAGAGAGAGGCAGAGAAGAAAGCTGAAGAGTGAGTGTTGGTAGCCTTTGAGTCAGCCGTCCCTCATATCCTCGCCTTTCCTGCAGATGAGTTACGTGACTCAACGCGCATGTGTATGCTAGATGAAACTGGGTCTTTTAGTCATTTGTACTAAGTAATGTAGAATTCTAATGTGGAAAGTAATATAGAAACCCTTTGAACGGGTACCTCCATTTAGATATACTCATTTCTGTGCATTTATTCATTTAGCAAGTACTACTGAATACCTGCTGCTCAATTCAGTATTCATTGAATGTTCACTGTTTCAATATCCACCAGGCCCAGATGAGGTGTAGAGATAATAAACGCATAGTTTAATGGAGGTAAGGAAGTTCATATCATGAACTCACACAGAATATAGAGTTAGAATATAGCATAGAATATAGTTACTCTTTCTGGGCCTAGTGGTACACGCCTGTAATCCCAGCAGTTTGGGAAGCTGAGGCAGGAGGATTGCAAGTTCAAAGCCAGCCTCAGCAACAGCGAGGCGCTAAGCCACTCAGTGAGACCCTGTCTCTAAGTAAAATACAAAATAGGGCTGGGGAGGTGGCTCGGTTGTTGAGTGCCCTGAGTTCAATCTCTGGTACCCCCACACACCCCCAAAATAATAATAATATACCTTTTTTTTTCTTCTTAGGGCTGGGGATTGAACCTAGGGGCACTTTACCACTGAGCTACATCTGCAATTCCTCCTTCTTTTTTCTCCCCAGTACTGGGGATTAAACCCAGAAATGCTCTACCACTGAGCTACACCCCTGGCCCTCTTAAAATTTTATTTTATTTTTATTTATTTTATATTAGGTTGCTGAGGCTGGCCTTGAGCTTGCAATTCTCCTGCCTCAGCCTCCCCAGTGTCTGGGATTACAGGTGTGAGCCTCTTCTTCTCCTTCTCCTTCTCCTTCTCCTTCTCCTTCTCCTTCTTCTTCTTCTTCTTCTTCTTCTTCTTCTTCTTCTTCTTCTTCTTTCTTCTTCTTTTTTTAAAAATTTTGAGACAAAGTCTCTCTAAATTACCCACGCTGGGCTCAAACTTTCAATCCTCTTGCTTTAACAACCGACATGGCTGGGATTATAGGTATGTGCCTCCTATCTGAATTCCTGATTTACAAGGAAAGTAGCTTTGGAATGACCAATGTGCTTTTTTTTTCTTCTTCAATTCAGTTTTTTCAGCCTTCTCTGCATATAAAATCAAACTCCTAGCTGGGTACCGTGGCGCATGCCTGTAATCCCAGTGACTGGGGAGGCTGAGGCAGGAGGATTGTAAATTCAAGTCTAGCCTCAGTAATTTAGTGAAACTCTGTCTCAAAATTAAAAAATACAAAGGGCTGGGTATGTAGCTTTGTGAAATAGCACCCTTGACATCAATCCCTAGTACCACAAAAAAACAAACAAACAAAAACCTACAAACTCTTTCACACGGTTTATTGAAATGCTTATTCTATTTTATGGATTGAAATGATGTTGCCTGATTCTAGAATTGTAAGATAAAGCCAACCAAGATCTTTAAATTAAATTTGTTTTTGTTTTTGACATATATAACATAGTCCCTGCCTTCCAGAAGCCTCTGATCTAGTGGTGGAGACCCATGAAAAACAC